CAAGATGTATTAAATATCAATAAAACCAATCATATGTAAATTAGAAAAGCACTTCCGAATAGGAATCTTGATTTTCTATGTTCTAAATGATTTATTAGCGAGAAAGTGTTAGAATGACTATTTGTTTCACCGCTCACATAAAAGCTAGCAAAAAACAAATGCACTCTTAATTGCTCAGGGAAATCTTTCCATGAATTCCTAGATTTCTGCTGCAAGATAGACGTGATTCCAGCTGCTTCATATGTAGAATTTTGTTCTCCCACATCCTATTAAGAGAAGACCAAGAGCTTAGTAAAGATATGTAACTGACTACGTGTAAGAGGGCACTGTGATACTGGTAATGTTTGCATAATTAGGGAATGAAAATAGCTAGCTAGTTGACTGCCATGTACTAAACCCATGAATGTTGTCATTAATTAGGACACCTAATCTCGCATAAATTACTGGGCACAACACACATTTAAAAATTATTAAGAGTTCTCTGACTATTTCTGCGAGGGGCCCAGAGGAAAACGTAATTTTTGAGGGGCGTGGGGCCCGGAGGGAAAGGAATCCTTTTTTTTAGGGGCGAGGGGCCCAGAGGAAAAGGTAAGTTTTCCTCTGCACCTGTGTATGTCAAAAAAAAAAAAGCGCTTTAAATGTAAAATTATCTACAAGAAATAGATTCACTTGTTGTCTTCTCTACGTACTCCAACTCTCTAACTGCGTGTGTCTCAGTTGCTCCAAGATTCTGTTTTTTTATGTGTTTTAAAAATGTTTTTTTAAAAAATTAAAATTAAATTTTTTTTATTAATTTCAAATTAATATATTTTTAATATTTTTAAATTATTTTGATATTCTAATATTAAAAATAATTTTTTAAAAATAAAAAATATTATTAATATATATTTTATTACAAAAAACCATTTAAAAAACAACTACAGACACGTTTCCGAAACGTTTTTACATTTGCCACTTTTCTCAAATGGCTCACCTCCTTCAAGTTCCAAACCAAACGGCCACGTGAATCTCCTTCATTAATTTCTCAAATGAGTTTCTCAAATGAGTTGACTTATTTTTTTCTAAGCCGGAGGAAAACAATAACATGTTTTCCTCTTGCCCAGACTGAAATAGAGGGAAACAATGACGTGCTTTCACTTATGATGACGGGTTCAATCATGCTTCCTTGAGTGCCGCTATAAATACCGTTAACACACAAACCTCAAATGGCTCAACTCCTTCAAGGTCCAAACCGAAGGGCAACGTACTCCTCCGTCATTAATTTCTGATTTTATTTTTCTTTGTTTTCTTCTTGTTGATGCTCAGGAAAGACAAGATTGGTGGAATGAAGATGAAGATCATGGGTAAGAAATCTCATACTACGTACTTAATTTGTATCTGAATTTCTTATCTCATCTAACCTTACCAATAGAACCTGGTGGTATTGAGTCTGATTTATTCATGTTTATTATGTAAGTTTTGTTGATAATTAAATATTTATTATGTAAGTTTTGTTGATAATTAAATTTCGACATATTTATTTTATGTAAGTGTATCTATGTGCCAATTAAGTCTGATTTAGTTATCATTTCTCTCTTTTGGTTGCAGAATGTCTGTCCCAACTCTTGCACCTGATAACATCACAGCTGCCATCAAAATTGCCAGCTTCTCCTCCTAATGTTGACGACCTGGAGTCGCAATCATTGCAACCCCAACCTTCTTCTTCTAATACCACCTCAGAATCACAATCTCCTCAAGCGCGGCCTCCACCTTCTCCAGAATCACCAACAGGAGTGCGGGAGCTACTGCCTCTTACCATCAACGAATCACAGCGAAACAATGTTCTTGACGCGAAGCCGGACTTGGAAACGGAATTAAGGAAGACACTCCTGAATTTGTGCTTCACAGCAGCACTTCAAATCACGATTCAGTACGGACACGTTGCTGAATCTGAAATCCATAACTCCATCAATTTGATTTCCTTAGCTATAGCAGCTATCTTTGCTTCTCTATTCGTCTCACAGTTTATTGGAAAAAAGATTCCGACTGCATCCGAGGTGTTGGAGAAAGTTGCGTTCTTCCTAGCGGCCACAACGTTTTTCTTCGCCATAGCAACTCCATTCCCTCTTGGCATCAAATGTGCTACATGGGCAGTCTACATCATGTCGTTGATTGCTATTGCCATCTGCAATTGCCTCTAGTGCGAAATATGTTAAGATCACAGCTACTGGTAACTCGCCTTAGAGGAATATTAATTCACATCTGTGATATTAGGGTTTACTGTTTGCGGACGCCTGTTACAAAACTAAGGAGTATTCTCTACTAGCTAGTTAAATAAACATGGTTTGTCATGTATCCACTGGTACTGGTTTGTTAATATTATTTCTGTTTTTGCCTTGCCTTGAGTTGTCTTCCTATGCTTTTATCAGTTTAATCGAGGAAAATCATGTAATTGATTTCGAACATACCTTCTGGAATGATTCATTCTGTGGTTCTTTAATACAAATAATGCTAATTTTAATTATATCTTTAAGTTTTGAGATTTACTTTTTATTTATGAGTATCACATTAGATTTAGTAGTGTTTGTTTATACTTTCATGTAATTTTACTTAACTTGGTCACTAAGTATTTTTGTGTACTGAGATTAACTCATCTTGATTTATGATTTTCGAACAACGATTTGTAGAGTTTGAAAAAAGGTAAACTGTTACATAGATATGGTGAGTTTCTCCATGTTATTCTATGATTGATATATTTATTATCAATTATTTTATTTCATAATTATGATTACGCTATTAAACATGAAAAGATTCACATTCTAAATATGATTGATAATAGATACAAACTTAATAATTTGTAATCATTCTACTGAGGAACCATATCTATGTAATGTTGTTTGTTAATTATAACACCAATATTCGACACAAATTCAATTTGAAAGAATAAATCTAAATTACTCCACAAAAGAAAATGGCTCGTCACGCCAGACAATTCTCACTGCAAAGCGCATACATATAGTATAAGATTTTCCAATATTATTCTGCGTCAATGAACCTTCTCGTGGACCTCAACAATTTATAATTCACGGACATTTCAGTCACATCTACTTTCCTCATATTTTTGCTCTATTCAGTTATTCCGACACCCACAAATACTTGCAAGATTAGAGTAGAAATTATCTCAATTTAATATTTTAAATAATTTAATAAAATTTTAAAATATAAATTATATTAATTTATAACATAAATAAAAGTGGTCATGAATTTCAATGCATGAGCATCAGCTTGAAATTCTACTATATTTGCGGGTGTTGTGGACCGACGCAGAGTGGTCGAAGCTTTCATGCGTAGATGTGACCAGTTCGCAATGAGAACAGGATAGAGCAACCGGCGTGATGCTTACGCCTCACTCGCGTCAGCATGTATGCGTGTGAACTGAGGTGAATGAATGAATCTCCAAACCCAAAGATCTCCTCCTGATGGTGATTGTTGAGACAGCGCTAGAGGAGATTGTGACTCTGAGGTGGTATTAGAAGAAGAAAGTTGGGGTTGCGATGATTGCGATTCCAGGTCGTCAAGATTAGGAGGAGAAGCCGGCAATCTTGACGGCAGCTATGATGTTATGAGGTGACAGAAATTCTACAACACAGAGAAATGATAAAATTAATTAGAATTACATTAATATATTTTTAGTATTTTTAAAAATATTAATATCAAAAATAATTTTTAAAAAAATAAAAAAATATTTATATATATTTTAATACTAAAAATTATTTAATAAACAACCACAAACTATACACATACGAAGTAATATGAACGTTCTTACCATGATCTTGGTTGCAATCGTGATCTTTCCTGAGCATCAACAAGAAGAAAACAAAGAAAAAGAATACTCAGAAATTAATCACGGAGGAGTACGCAGAGGAAAGTGGGAAATATGAAAAAGCAGCGATGGAACGGCAGAAACAAAAGATCACTTGCCCATGATTTTAGAGCAACAGAGACACGCTGAGAAACGGTAAGACTGTAAGAGAGTTGTACTAAGTAGAGAAGATAGCAAGTAATTAATGATATGAGCGAGGATTTACAACTCTTCAGGGAATCATGTCTTGGATAAAGTGACTCACTTACCACGTGTCTTGAAGAATTTATAACTCTTCAAGGATAGTTTTGTCACTTTATACTAAAGAGTAGTGGTGGTTTTGTTACTTTTTGCAAGACACTTCATGCAAGACTGCGGTAGTTTTGTCACTTTACGCAAGACTGCATAGGGGTGTGAATAGAGAAGCTGTAAGATGAGTGTGTATATATACTTAATTATTAGTTATTAATTCAAATTAGGATCATATCTTCAGCCTAGTTAGTTACGTCATTATTTTTACTGAAAAATAGTTGATTATCGTGTGTGAAAATATTTATATTTGTGGTTCAATTGCCCTTCACTTTGTTGAAAATATTTTTTTTAAAAAAACCTGAAGTTAGTTATTAATTGAATCATTCATTGTGCACCGATTATGAATTATTTGCAATCCGTAAACAGGGGAAAAACAACTTGTATTTTAACCTTCCATAGCAAACGTACCATGTATTATTTTTGTTTATTCGTTTGACATGGTAGGTCATTTGATTATGTGGAAAGATGTAATTTAAATGTATTTTATTTTAATAATAATTTTTAAAGTGTTTAATTATTAACATATAATAATTTTACATAAATCTTATTAAAAACTCTCTCTTTAAAACTTTTATTATAATATTTTTTTTGTAATTTATAATTTTTCTTAAATCTACATTTTAAACCATAGTTATAATTAAAATTCAACCTGTTAATTAACTTGGTATAATGACTGGATCATAGATCTTATAAATTAACCCAAATGAACTCAGAATAACAGTTTTAGTTTCTCTGTCCAAAATTCCAAACGTAAACATTTAGTCTATTGGCTTGGAATTTAAAATTCTTACACCTTCTTTTGATGTTCTTTGTGAATCTACTAAAAAATTATCAAAGCTGGCCTCTTTGTAAAGGTATTGTAAATGGATGCCCTATTCTAAAAGACTACATGAACCAACCAACTGAGAACTAACAAGAAAAACAAAATTAGCGGCAACAACAATGTAGGTGATAGTTTTTAGAAAAACAGGAAAATGAACATTGGAACATGAGCTTGTTACAAAAATAACAGGCTGCAATGACAAAATCAGGTGCTCACTATTAACCATTACTTGGAAATCTCATGCAATAACAACACCAGATGCATAGCGGCTAAGCATCAATTTCACCAGAAATTAATGTAGCTATTTAGAAAAAAAAAAGTTTCAAAAAAGTGGCTTTCATAAGTCAAACTATAAAGGAATATTAAAACATCTAAATAGAAGGAAAATAGATGATGATGTAAATCAGTGGCATAATGTCTATCCCAAGTTAAAAAATAAAATCAAGGGACCAAGCGAACTGGTAATTCAGTAAACCAATCACATAAAAAGAGGACTGCTAATTTAAAAGAAAATGTTGATATCTTTAAAAAAAATAGAGTCTCTTCAGCCATATATGTCGCGTCAGGTGAGCTTGTCTCCTTATGACATGAGTAATGGTAGATTAGTGATTATTGCCAGCACAATTAAACTCAAAATAAAACATTGCAAAGGAAAAAGAGAAAGTACCTGACTTATAACAGTAGAATCCAGCTTCTTTTTCGGACCCTTGGTGAGTAGTGAAATCAGAAATTCAATAAAGGGCTAAAAGATTCAATCAGCAGAAGAAAATCTCTTGATTGTTCAAACTTCAAATAAAAAAATTAGGGAAGCAAAGATAGCTACAACAGCTAAGGAGATCAAAATGATGGGGTAGTGGGCTTCAGATTCAGCAACCTGTACGTACTGAATCGTGATTTGAATTGCTGCTGTGAAGCACAAACTCAGGAGTGTCTTCCTTAATTCGGTTTCCAAGTCCGGCTTCGCGTCAAGAACATTGTTTCGCTGTGATTCGTTGATGGTAAGAGGCAGTCGCCCTCTTGGTGGTGATTCTGGAGAAGTTGGATGCCGCGCTTGTGGAGATTGTGATTCTGAGATGGTACTAGAAAAAGAAGGAAGGGGTTGCGATGATTGCGATTCCAGGTCGTCAATATTAGGAGGAGAAGCTGGCAATCTTGACGGCAGGTGTGATGTTATGAGGTGCAAGAGTTGGGACAGAGATTCTGCAACCCAAAGAGAGAAATGATAAAAAAAAAAAAGAATTAATTGGCACATGGATACACTTACATGAAATAAATACATACGTGGAAATTCAATTATCAACAAAACTTGCATAATAAACCTGAATAAATCAGACTTAATACCATCAGGTGGTTGTATTGGTGAGGTTGCATGAGATAAGAAGTTCAGATACAAAGTAGTACATAAAATTTCTTACCCATGATCTTCATCTTGATTGCACCAATCTTGATCTTTCCTGAGCATCAACAAGAAGAAAACAAAGAAAAAGAATGTCCCAAATTAATGACGGTACGTCATCGTAGAAGAAAGTGAGAAATGTAAAAAAGAAACGATCACTTACCCATGATGTTGGAGGAACCGAGACGCGCTGAGAAACAGTAAGAGAGTTGTAGGAAGTAGAGAGGATAACAAGTGAAGCAATTGCATATCGATGGTGTGATATTTATATATATATATTCTGATAGGAAGACACCTTTGTTCATAAGATCAGAAACAAGATATATTCTCCTTTGAAGTCAGGAGAGTGCTTGTGCAGCTTCCATCTATATACTTGTCAAGATATATAATTTATGACATGTTTTTCTCATCCCTTGATTTTGTGACACATGTTTTTCTCATCCCTCGTGTTTCAAATTTATTAAATTGGTATTTTCAAGTAACCATTTTATTTCATGTAAATACCACATCGTTGACTCAAATACTTTCAAGTGACCAATTGATGGGGACACTCAGGAAAGGGAAGGACTGATATGGGGAGGACTGATGTGGGGAAGGACTGATATGGGGAGGACTGATATGGGGAAGGACTGATATGGGGAAGGACTGATATGGGGAAGGACTGATATGGGCAGGACTGATGGGGACACTCAGGGAAGGATTGATGGTGCTCGTGGTCATTTGCACCCTTTTTCAAACAGATGCATGTCACCAGCCGCTGCCACCACCACCACATCAACACTTAAAAAAATTAAGATGTTTCAATAGAAAAGAAGTTCGACTTAAACAAAAACTTACTATAAAATTGAGTTAATAATTTAATTCAATCAAAATGTAAGACCACCATCAACACTTAAAAAAATTATATACCACCACCATCACCACTTAAAAAAGTTATATGTTTCAATAGAAAAGAAGTTCGACTTAAACAAAAACTTATTATAAAATTAAGTTAATAATTTAATTCAATCAAAATGTAAGATTTGGACTTTTAACATATCTATTCAATTTATACGAACTTATTCTTTCAAAAAATAATTTTATTTATTTATTATTGAATATAATTCTAACTTAAACAGTTTTAAGTGAAAATTGAATAGATTTTATTTATTTAATAATTTTATTATTTCTTCATAAAATAATAATTTAACTGGAATGGTAATTATTTACTTATTTATATTTATTTGAATTGATAATAATACTGTTTGCTTAATTATTATGGAAATTGTAATTATGATGTATTTATCTTTTATATTAATCACATTGGATTTTCCGAAGTGGAGAGGACAAAATTTCAAGATGAAGGTCTACTTCTGCCAATTAATACAAGCATTATACAAGGGCATGCTGTATTTTTCCATTGAAATCAATGTATTAATGCTCAATGAACTTCATCTTATGCTAGCTGCGAGGATTAATATATTCATTTTCATTGAAATTTAATATTTTAATTTAATATTCAGCAAATATAAGATGAAATTCATTGAGGATTAATATATTGATTTTAAACTTCATTTTATGCTAACGGAATGAAATTCAATATTTTAATCCAACATTTAGCAAGCATAAGATGAAATTCATTGAGGATTAATATATTGATTTTCATTGAAATCAATATATTAATCCAACATTAATATATTGATTAAATTAAACTTCATCTTATGGCTTCAGTTAGCAACTTCATTTTATATTGGTTTCATCTTTTGCTAGCTGAATGTTGGATTAATATATTGATTTACTAGCAAAAGATGAAGCCAATGGAAATCAATATATTAATCCAACATTCAGCTAGCAAAAGATGAAGCCAACAATGAAGTTTAATGAAATCAATATATTAATGTTTGATTCTTATATTGATTTGAAACTTCATCTATGTCAGCTAGCATAAGATAAAGTTTAATGAAATCAATATATTAATCCAATATTTAGCTAATATACGATGAAGCTAGATGAAGTTCATTGAAGATACTAATATATTGATTTCCATGAAAATCAATATATTATTAATCCGACATTCATCACCCGGTGGTGGGATTTTGACATGGGAAGTCAACATCACCCGGTGGTGGCATTTTGACATGGGAAGTCAACATCACCAAGTGGTCGGGTTTTCAAACTCATCAACAGCACCCTTGTAAATATCTATATATATCAGCGCACCTTCCTCTACTATGAACGTCATTAACTTCTGATTTTCTTTTTCTTTGTTTTCTTCTTGTTGATGCTCAGGAAAGATCAAGATTGGAATGAAGATGAGGATCATGGGTAAGAAATTTTATACTACTTTGTATCTGAATTTCTTATCTCATCCAACCTTACAAATAGAACCTGATGGTATTAAGTCTGAAGATCATGGGTAAGAAATTGTATACTACTTTGTATCTGAATTTCTTATCTCATCCAACCTTACAAATAGAACCTGATGGTATTAAGTCTGAAGATCATGGGTAAGAAATTGTATACTACTTTGTATCTGAATTTCTTATCTCATGATCCAACCTTACCAATACAACCACCTGATGGTATTAATTTCGATTTATTCATGTTTATTATGGAAGATTTGTTGATAATTAAATTTCCGCGTGTTTATTTCATGTAAGTGTATCTATGTGCCACTTAAGTCTGATTTATTTTATCATTTCTCTCTTTGGGTTGCAGAATATCTGTCCCAACTCTTGCACCTGATAACATCACAGCTGCCATCAAAATTGCCAGCTTCTCCTCCTAATGTTGACGACCTGGAATCGCAATCATCGCAACCCCAACTTTCTTCTTCTAATACCACCTCAGAATCACAATCTCTTCAAGCGCCGCCTCCACCTTCTCCAGAATCACCAACTGGAGTGCGGGAGCTACTGCCTCTTACCATCAACGAATCACAGCGAAACAATGTTCTTGACGCGA